GAGTCAAACCTATTCTCTAAATTCAGGTGGGATATACTTAAGGTCGTACTTTGGCTCTCGTGGACTTGTTCTAATTTTTTTCATCTTCAACTTGAATTTGCATATAGGCAATTTATGGCCTGTTCTGCAGTTGTTCCCTGTTCTTGTTCTGAATGATGAATCATCTCTAGATTACTTATAATACCTAATAAAATGTAAACGCTATGTAAATAGTTGTTATACAGTACGGTATTGTTTAGGGAGTAATTACAAGATGAGAGGTGAACAATGCTCAAACAATGAGTGCTGGAAAGAGACTGTGGATCTGTGAAATGGCAGGAGGCTACAGCAGGGTGTGCCTACACATCATTTCATTCGCCTGGATTCAGCGTAGTGCTCTGCGCAGGCAAATTCAAGTTTTGCTTTTTAGAACTTTCTTTTTTTCTGAATATTTTCAATCCATGGTTGGCTGAATCTGCAGATGCAGAACCTGCAGATACTGACAGCCAACTGTATACTAGAGTTGTATATTAGTCAACTATTACTGAGTAACAAATTTACCCAAAACTTAAAACAGCAAACCTTTATTGTCTCACACAGTATCTAAAGGTCAGGAATCCAGGAGAAGCTTAGCTGGGTGGTTCTGGCTTAGGTTGCAATCAAGCTGTTGGCTGGGGCAGTCATCTCAAGGTTCAACTGGGACTGGATAACTCAGTTCCAAGCTCACGCACATAGTTGTTGGCAGGCCGCAGTTACTCACTGGATGTTGGTCAGATACTTCAATTCCCTGCCACATGGACTTCTCCATAGGGCTGCTCACAACATGTCAGCTTGCTTCCCCCAGAGCAAGTGATCCAAGAGAAAAAGAGAGCCAGAGCCCAAGAGGGAAGCCACTGTGTTTTACAACCTAATCTCAAAAGTGACTTACTATTACTTCTGCTGTATGCTATTGGTCCCACCAAATAACCATAGCACAATGTTGGAGGTGACTGCACCAGGGTGTGAATACCAGAAGGTAGGGGTCATTAGGGGCCATTTTGGAGGCTGGATACTACATGTAGTAAAGAGCAGAGACTCGGGTCTGACAGCCTAGTTTCAAATCCTAGCTCTGCCACTTACTAGTTGTGTGATCTTGGGCAAATTACTTAACCTCAGTTTTCTCATCTATCAAATGGGAATAATAATACTTACCTCAAGAAATCATCATAAAGATTAAATGAGTGTTTGTTCATTTACTTATTTATCTCAGAGGAATGCCTGATCATATATAGATATATACATATATACACACACACATATATAAACCAAACTCATTGCAGACTCATAGTGACTCTATACATATAAATATAAGCTCTAAAAGAGATTAAACAAGTGAGCAGAGGAGAGATGGGGTAAGACAGATGCTAAGACACATGGCGATCTCCAAGGAACCAGGAAGCAGAAACTAGTGAGACAATGACCTTCCTCCAGAGCTGACAAAGAGAAAAAGCCTTCCCCTAGAGCTAGTGCTCTGAATTTGGACTCCTAGCCTCCTAAACTGTGAGAAAATTAATTTCTGTTTGTTAAAACCATCCACTTGTAGTATTTCTGTTATAGCAGCACTAGATAACAAAGGCAAGCTTTAATTATTATTAGCTAAACACTGTGAGGAGTCATCAAAAGATTTTAAGCAGGGGAGTGACCTGCTGTTTTGGAAAACTTACTACAACTTCAGTGTGGGGAGTAGATAGGAAGGGAAAAAAGCAAGAGGGAAGAGACCCCTTAGAAAACAGTTACAGATAAAAGATTAGGGTGGCCTTGATTAGGGTAGTGACAATGGAAACAGAGAGAAGTGGATACATGCAGGGTATATTCTAGAAATAGAACTATCCACACATCAATTAGATGTAGGTGATGAGGGAGATAGGTAACATAGAAGGAGGAATAAGGTTCATTTGTTTGTGGAGGTGGGTATAAGAAATCTGAGTTAGAAACATGTGGAGTCTGAGGTAAACAACTGAGGTTAAGAACTCAGCTGCTGATCGAAAGGTTAGTGGTTCGAACACATCAGCCACTCCATGGGAGAAAGATATGGCAATCTGCTTCCATAAAGATTATAGCCTTCTCTATGGGGAAGTTCTACTCTGTCCTATAGAGTAGCTATGAATTGGAATTGACTGGATGACAGTGAGTTTTAATGTGTAAAGGCATCCAAGTGGAATTATCCAGTTGGCAGTCAGATATATGAGTATAGAGTTCAGAAGAGAGATCGGGGCTAGAGATTTAGGAGTCATCACCATATAGGTCATTGAAGCCATGGATAGGGTAAGATTGCCCAGGGGATAATATGTCAGTGAGAAGAGAAGGCTGCTTGAGAAAGAACCCTGATCACTAGCAGTTAAGAGGAAGAAGTGCCTTCAAAAGAAAGTCAGAAAAAAGAGAAATATCTAGAGGGTATGGTGTCATGTAAGTCAAGTGAGTGTTTCATGAAGGAGAGATGGCTCAACAGTGCCAGTGCTACCTGCTAAAAGAAAAAGGTCACCAAAGATAAGGGCTGAAAATTGTCTATTGAATTTACCAACAAGGAGGCCATTGTTGATCATCATGAGAATAACGTCAATGGAATGGATGGGGCATCCCTGCCCCAACCTCATTCTCTAGGCTATAAGTGTACCTTCATGGGATTTATGGATTTAGTGTTGAGTGCTACCTCCCTTTTCCAAACAGAATAGTTGATCGTCACTGGGGTCAGCTTCTTGGAGATGTACGTTCAGGTTGGAATTCACTAGAAGTTGGGTACTCCTTGACCAGGATAATAATAATAAATAGTAACTGCTAACATTTCTCGAGCACTAAGCAATTTACATGGATAGTCTGATTTAATCCTGACATCAACACTATGAGGCAGGTGCACTGCTACAGCACCTATTACTTACCAATTAGTGTTTTAAGTACCTTACGTATGTCAACTCACATAAAAAAAAATGGTTGCCGTCAAGTCAATTCCAACTCAGCGACCCTATAGGACAGAGTAGAACTGCCCCATAGAGTTTACAAGGAGCGCCTGGTGGATTCGAACTGTTGACGTTTTTAGTTAGCAGCTGTAGCACTTAACCACTATGCCACCAGAGTTTCCATCAACTCATATATTATCCCTATTTTACAGATGAAGAATCTATTGGCTTACATACTAGTATAGACCCAGGCTGAGCTGAGATAGGCCAGGATCAAGCAAGAGGTATACCAAGAGCTTCAGCCATTGGAAAGCTTCAGTTGTTCCATGGCTCCTGGAAAAGCTCCTCTTTTTTTTTTTTTTTTATATTTTATTGTACTTCAGGTGAAGGCTTACAGAACAAATAGTTTCTCATGAAACAGTAGTACACATGTTGTTTTATGACGTTGGTTAAC